CCGTATGACGATGAGTAGAGACGGTATCTTTGATTTATGAACGTGTATGCCAAGAGGCATATCTCAGTTTGGGTGAAGGGATGTGTCATGAATTTGTTTTCGCGTATCTGTTGACCGACTTAATTAGCTGATTATTAGCGAATTGCTGTGTTATGTCTGTCATCGTTTAGGTCTATTTGAAGTTTTGGACGGAACTTGGCTCAGTGGTTTGGAACTAATTACAAGATACCGTCGCTATTCTGACATCCGTAGTTATTAATGTAGTGAACGATTAATCAAAAGATATGACGTATTCAGTGCTTAGTTTGATTGGCTTTATGATTGAAGGTTACGCCCTAGAGTCTTTTTACTGCATTGTAATTGGTCAGAGTTTTGAAAATGAATAAAGAGAGTTTGAGTTGGTCTTGGCGAATACTCCACGACAGACGCGGTCCTGGAGAGACTTGGGGCGAGCCTTGACGCAGTCTTGGGCGAGTCTTGGGTCAGCCTTGTGACAGTCTTGGGGATTTTTCCCCAGGGCGCTGTGTCTTATAGAGTGCTCGATTGATCGACTAAGACGAGAGCTGAAACGTATTTCGTTGTGTGTGTCTTATTTGACTGTAAAGTATAAGTGACTTTCCCGATCCCGTACCTCAAGGGGACGAGATAGAGAGACGAGACGAGTTTCCCCCCTGGCAAGTGTGGAGAACCCGAGAGAAAGAGAGGTTTTCCCTCTGATAATATGTTCACATATTGTACATTGAAAAGTAGTCGTACTATAGCGTTTATAACGTAGAAAATGGCAAAATATAGAATGAAGCAGAGCATAATGGCTAATTTATTCTCTAATTAAACCGAGGTTCCGGGTGTATAATAGGAAAGGTGGCCACCAGTTTTCAAATAATAAGAAATGATATGCTGTGGTCTGTTTGTCCGGGCACTTCAGGGGCGTCGTCGATACCCAACGAAGTGTCCGGTCAGAGCGAGTGCGGATGGTGAATGGCTAAGCCACTTAAAAATCTCCTTCCATCGACCATTCAACATAAAATTCGACAATTTTTAACACACATAACACAAAGTATATACATGTAACTTCATTCACAATTCTGATTAAGAATTTCAATGCAAAAAGTTATAATTTGATTGTGTTTAAAGATTGAATTTTAGTTTATTTTCCCTATTAAAATGGGAGTTGTGTTAATGTGTGACCGAGGATAGACAGGAAACCACATTTTCACATTTTGCTGTTTTTTTGGAGTAACTCGCTGTTTTATGTGACTTGTTCGCCTACTACATACCCATACCACCTTTTCAGTACGTGTATAACATATTGTGATGGAAAGTCAAGTTGATGAGAATTTGTAGGGGGCTGTGCACTGATCAAAGGTTCAGTAGTGAATTGTTTGTTCATGGTATTATAATGTTGGGCATTGCAAACAAAATTTAGCAGAATTTGATATTTTTGTATGGAAAATATTTTGCATACAAACACTTTGAATTGAAATCGAAACCGTCATTTAAATATAAGACCGTATGTTATTGGTTTACCGGTTTAATAAAAAATATAACTGACGTAACCATGGAAAATTAAAATCAAAATGACCGGAAGTGCACTTTTTTTTAGGTATACATGTATATATTTCTTAGCAGGCAATGTCTGGCGAGCGGGCGAAGCCGAGCAAGTTTATTGATTTATTAAAAAAATCAACTCGCGTAACCATAGAGCTGAGGGGATTCAAGATGGCCACACGCACGATTTGTGTTTTGCCGTGGATCAAAATGAATATCTAATGAGTACAACTGAAGACAGCGTGGTCAGACAGATTGGAGAATACATGTATTTATATAACCCTTTTTTTTTTATAAGAGAGACTGCACTGACTCGTAATCGTTTTTCATTTTAAACTATTTTTTATATTTTTTTATATTACACTTTATAGCTGTACACTGATACAAATGTTATTTCTAAAGATGCAATAAAACGTTATTATACTATTATTATTATTATTAAATTACTTAATTTGAACTATTTTCAGCTTATTGCCAGAAATGACGATGTTTTATCATGAATCAGCTGTTTTCGCTTCCCATATTTTGTGAAACAATAACAAAAATGGCGGCGGCCACTGCACTATTTTCACACTCTTATGGTATACATATATCTTCCATACTCTTATATATACACATGTTATCTATAAACAAACCTGCGCCCCATTCGACTTGCAACAGTTGGGAGCTTTTGGCGGACGAAATGTCAAAGTTCAAGATAACAGGAGAATAGCTAGGAACTTTAAACTTGGAACACATGTTCTCATATAACTCACAGGACACAGCAAATTTCAGAGACAAAGGATCAAGAGAGTTTGTGTATTCGTATTTTGTACTTCGTAATTGGTACACATATTTCCTACTTGATTCACAATACCTACATTTCGTTATATAACTACAGTGGGGAAATTGCCAGGGTCTTAAGACTTGGCAGACATGTTCCGTGTGTGACTCGCAACAGCTAGCTGCATTTTGGGTACAAACATTCCAAGGCCATGGTTCAGTTTGTGTATATGTGTGTTCAGTATTAGACTACAAGGAAGAATAGCTAGGAACTTCAAAGTAGCACACAGGTTCACTATGTAATCCATATGGCATGACAATTTGTTTAAATCTGATACAAGATTAGTCTATTATTCACTCTTAATTACTGACCATACACTATAAATTCATTCATAATTAATTTACCTGGTCACATGATTAGTGATTTGTATATTTAATTTGATTGCATATAATATGCATGTAGCTCTATATGTCCATAATTCTATTTGTGATCGGATAAAAGACTACAGACTTGCAGCCATCTTGCTTTTTTTTTGTTACTAATTGCAATGGGAACTATGTCATTAACAATGACTTGTTAAATGCCATATGCCTGTATTGGTACTGTGCTTCTAATATAATACATACAGTGTTTTTATTTGAACTGAACTTCATGCCTCCTCGCCACATCAGCACATGGGAGTTTTCTTAGATTTTTTCCGCCACTGCATAGCGCCCTCAATTGATGAATTAATTAAACCTGCAAAATGTGTGCGCCGTCAAATGTTTTAGCTTACTAGTATATGTTTAGCAAGGTTTCACTGTCTCACCGCCCAATTTTTGAAAAAAAAACAATTTGACTAGAACCCTAACCCTTCCATTTTTTTTTTTTTAGTTTTTTTCTTTGCAAGGCCTTTTATTTGAATTTGAGTTAAGTTACTAGAGTATAAAAAATCATTAACAACAACACAAATACAATCATATTGGCGAAAGCTTCATGTCAATGTCAATGTTGTGTTAACCTGTCCTCGCCACGCCATCGTTCAGACTGTCGTGACGTCACCAGGTGTATAAAAAGGATGTGAAGTGGTCCAGTATGGCCGCCGTGACACCTGGCCGGCACACGGCACGCCCCATATCCATACGCAAGAGAAAGAAAAAGCTTTATTTCCCCCCAAAAAACAACAAAATTGCAACCACTAAAGTCATCAGAATAAACTTGAACAAATGTATTAAAATTGTTGTTAGTAAATGCATTTAAAAAAGTAATCGTTTATTGCACTATGTTTCATCGCGGAATGATTACTATGAAGAAATGCTGTTGTTAGGCGATACCGGCAAGTGTCATCCGGTTGGGGAGACCCGTCAACCTAGTTAGTTGCTGATATTCCCCAAGGTTGTATGTTTTCTACAAATTTTGCCGGTAAGAGTACAATTTATATATCTTTCATAATATCGTACGCGGTGTTTGTTTACTCGCAACTTTTAACTTCTGTCGACAGAGGCGGAAACTTGATCAGCATGATGTCGAGTATTCGATTGAAATGTCCTATTCACATACACGCCGGTTCAGTCGTACAGTTACACTGTCTCACTTCCTGGTTCAAATCATATTCCAATATTAGCTTGCTATTCCATTGATATTACAGCGGGTAATTCCACGGTAGGTGGCTCTTATGCCGTGACCCGTGTTTATATAACGAGTCAGCGGTGAGTGCGATGGGGGGTGTGCCCCCATCGATCAATAGTCTGCACTGGTGTGCTGTTGATGATCGCACCAAGTGAGGGTTGAGCGTTTTGTTTTGAATAAAAAAAAATATGACTGCATGTGTGTCAAAATATCGGTGTTGTTTTAGCAGATCTATGTTGTTGCGTGACAGACACCGAATATTAATAACTAGTATCACTCCCTTGGAAGATGGCAAACGAATACTACGAATGATGCCGTCACGTATTCAAAAATTGGACTCCCAATGTGTGGCTAAATAATTCATTACAAATTTACATCGGCGGATTTTCAAACCATTAATTTTAACACTCGAAACTTATACGCTTTAGAGGGTGTTCAATTCATTGATAGCTGCCACAGTCGACCTGATAAGCCGACCTGGCAAAGGTCAACTTCGTTTGTCACAAAAGATACATGCATATATACAATGGGCCATACACATGAAATACACACCCTTTTCTTTATTTGATCGCTCATTATTGTCTACATTCTAATTTTTGTTTCTTTGAGTTCAAATCTATGTTCCCTATCACCCCCACCCTATACTATACTATACTATACTATACTATACTATACTATACTATACTATACTATACTATACTATACTATACTATACTATA